GAAGGTACCCAAATGGGTTCTTACTACTGTGTACCTTTATCAATCTGCAATAGTGCTTCCCTTTTTATCCTGAAAAGTGTTAGAAGGATCGTTGTAGCTATTTTAAAAAAGAAGGCAGGTGCAGCCTGTTCACTCACTCATGCCTAATTATCATTACTACTAACTACCTTATCTTTTCCAGCCAATGTTTTCTTAGACACTAGTTTTAATTTGAATACCATCTCCACCCCTATGCATTATATTTTCCATTCCTTAACAACCCCAACTTAACAACTCCAGGTACTTTAGCCATATCAACTGGAAAAAAATGAAGTATGAAATTCCAATTGAGCTAATTTATAGCCTATACACAAGAATCTAGCCAATCTATACACAAGAATGTTCATCTTGTTTATCCATTTGTATTCTTTTATTCTGCTTTGTTAAATTGTAAACCTAAATTGAGTCTAAATTAAAAATAGTAAATAAAGACACTCCTGACAAGTTCACCATCTCCTATATTTCTTTCCATAAAGATAAGCACAACTCATAGTTATCAGTTCTTTGATGAACCATTGTAATTTTTCCTGTAAGCTCTGGAAAATGCATTTATTTATTTACTTTTATTTTTGTTTATTAGATTTGTATCCCTTCTTTATTACTTTACAGGTAACTGAAGAGGGTAAACATACTTAATGCTTCTTTCTCTTTCTCTTTTCCATGTAATCAACACCACTCTGTGAGGTGGGATGTGGAGAGAGAGAGTGAGATGGAGAAGGGAGGGAGGGCAGGAGAGAGAGAGAGAGAGAGGGAGGGAGAGAGGGAGGGAGGGAGGGAGAGAGAAACTGACCCAAAGTGACTCAGTTGACCCAAAGTGACTCATTCATTCCTAAAACAGGACTAGAACTCAGAATCTCCTGGTTTCTAGGCCAGCGCCTTCACCGCTACACCAAACTGACCTTCATGAAGGTTCACAAGAAAGTTTTGGATAACAGCCATACTGTCAGCCTATCCTTCCCTCTCTGTTGCTGAGGAAAAAATCTGAAGGTGACATTGCTATGTACATATGTCCCTTTGGGGTTCTTGGAAGAATGGCAAAGGCAATTTACCTTTGTGAAGTAAATAAATCCCTCAAATGACTTTCTACATGTCGCACAAGACATTTTTTTTCCTTTAGGCTGTCTTATGTTTATTCATCTTTTACTCATCTTCACAAAATAGTGTAATCAAAAAAGGACTCACAGGTGTTGCTGCAAAAGGTTGTTGTTGTTGTTGTTGTTGTTGTTGTTTTGAGCTGATCATATTGCCAGAACTGCTGCTTTTGCCTTTAATGCTGAAATATGCTACTGTAGCCAGGGATGGAATTGGATAGAGTATTTGCCAAAATTGCAGAAGAGGTTATGGGTCCTTTTTTATTAGTGCTTGTGAGTGGCCCCACATAATGTTAGAGAATGAAAAGTAGAGGTGATCTTTTCAGATTTTGCTCTTCTTCTTTTAAGCTGTCCTGATACATTGGTTTTGGTTTCCTCTAGCTCAGCAGTATCATGACCAGAACTAAATACCTCATTTCAGTCTCTGATTGTTTGACTAGGTTTTGTACTTTTCTATTTTTCAATATTGATGAAGACTCTGAATGCCTATTGAGTCTTTAATATAAGATGTCAGCTTCTGTGACCTTCTCTGAACTCTTTGTTGTTGTTTTTAAAGGGCTCTCTTCTGAGGAAACCTTTTGTGGTAATAGCCCCTTTTCTTTTTAGGAATGATTATATTGATATTATTCACACTTTGGAACAGGATAGCTGTTTTCAGCTAAAGACCCAAGCAGTTATGGTTATAGGAAATTCAGCCTTTTAGAAAATAGCACTGTGTATTTTTTTTAAACAATTCTTTCTTTCATGATGAAAAGTTTTTTTAAAAGTACATGTTTGAATAATAAATGTTGTGGTTTTCCTGTAAGGCTTTTGCATAAGCCAGACTACCCACCCCTTGAAACAAAGGAAAACCAACCTTGTTTCGCTCAAGTCTTAAGGCATATAAAGGAAATACAACTTAATTAATACAAAGCAGGCACATTTTTGTCCATTAGTATTTTGCTAATTCTCCTCTGGGTTGCTTTGAACATAAATCTTAGGAATTTCTTTGTAATTTATATTGAATCAGGAGATACCCCCCTTGTCGCTCTTAAGCTTCTTTTACTAAAAAAAATTATGTTGTTTTAACATATGTCTAGACAGCACCTTGTTAAAAAGCTTTTAATCCCCGACTGAGCCTCCAGAATTAATACTACTTTTAAATGCCTTTTAACAATAGGGAGAACAGCTCATACTGAGTGTCCAAAAAAAGGTTGTTTGGGAGTAAACATTGAATTACTTCAGAAGTTCATATAACATGTCATATGGAAGACAGCAATTAAAAAAATAAAGATTTCAGCCTTCCAGTTGCTTGTATTAACAATAGAAGTGGGAAAGGGTTAAATATATTTTCCAAATTAGAAATAAACCAATTTATGAAAAGGTAGCTGAAACTGCAATGA